AAAGCTTTCTTTCACATTTACCAAATTCTTAGGGAAGTCCATTTTTGTTGCTAAATTCCACATCTGACTTGTATTCAATTCATGTATTGACTTGTCCTCTATGTTTTTTCTTTTTCTTTTGGAATGTTAGCTTACTGAGGAGCTTGCTAAACTGGACGAGAAGCTCAAGTTGACCGAATCCATTCTCGATAGCAAAGTATTGCTCATAATCCTTCCTTAGTTCGATTATGTTCACCTCTCATTTCTTATGGTAACAGACATATGGTATCACCTGTGTTGCAGAATCTAGAAATCAAGAAAATCAATGAGGAAAAGAAAGCCTCAATGGCTGCTCAGTTTGCTGCGGAAGCCACCTTAAGAAGGGTCCATGCTGCTCAGAAGGACGATGACATGCCTCCAATCGAAGCCATCCTTGCTCCATTAGAAGCTGAACTTAAGCTTGCTCGATCAGAGGTATATCCATTGCCGTTTTTTCAACTCTAATTGCTTGCTCCTATACCTCCATATTGGGGTATTGAAAACAACTCAAGTCACTGATCAACTATCTTGTTTCTACATAGATTGGGAAGCTTCAGGAAGATAACAGGGCTTTGGATCGTCTGACTAAATCAAAGGAAGCGGCCTTACTTGATGCTGAGAGGACGGTTGAAGGTGCTATGGCCAAAGCCGCCATGGTTGATGATCTTCAAAATAAGAACCAGGAGTTGATGAAACAAATAGAAATCTGTCAGGTTCTGTAGTTATCATCTTATTCTTTGTATTTACTTGATCACCTTATAGATGGGATCTACCCATCACATGTCGTTTTCCAACAGTCTGATTACTTTTGTTTGATGTTTTAGGAAGAAAACAAAATTCTAGACAAAATGCACAGGCAAAAGGTTGCTGAAGTGGAAAAGCTCACTCAGACAGTACGGGAGCTGGAAGAGGCTGTTCTTGCCGGTGGTGCTGCTGCAAATGCCGTGAGGGATTACCAGCGGAAATTTCAAGAGATGAATGTAACTAAACACACTTCACAAGATCGATATGTTTCTAGTTTATTGTCACAGCAATTGCCTGCTGATAAGGGAATTGTTCTTGCTGTCTTTTAGGAAGAACGGAAAACCCTTGACAGGGAGCTTGCACGTGCCAAAGTTACAGCAAACAGAGTTGCCACGGTGGTAGCAAATGAGTGGAAAGATGGTAACGATAAAGTGATGCCTGTGAAGCAATGGCTTGAAGAAAGAAGGTTTCTACAGGTTTACTTTGATATGATTGGCCCCTCTCATAGATTCCTAGGATGCAACAAATTCTTTGCAGTGAGCAAAGCATAGCCATATCGACATTCTCAGCTCTTAATTCTTAACTCTTTGCAGGGAGAAATGCAGCAACTTCGCGATAAGCTTGCCATAACAGATCGAGCTGCAAAATCCGAAGCACAGTTAAAAGTAATGGATCTTTGGCATTAGTCAGCTTCTCTTGTTTCACAGAAGAACAAGTAAAATATTTGTTTGTGCACTTACCAGGAAAAGTTTCAACTGCGGCTTAAAGTGCTTGAGGAGACGCTTAGAGGAACTTCAAGCAGCAGGAACACACCCGAAGCAAGAAGCATGAGTAATGGACCCTCTCGCAGGCAGTCGCTTGGTGGAGCTGAAAACTTACCAAAATTTCCATCAAACTGTGCTTTATCAAAGAAAGGTCCAGCTCCGCAGATGAGACATTCCCTGTCTATAAATTCAACCTCAGTATTGAAGAATGCTAAAGGAACATCAAAGTCATTTGATGGAGGCACAAGATCCTTGGATAGGGGCAAAGCACTTTTAAACGGACCTGGGAATTATTCTTTTAACAAGGCTTCTGATGACTCTAAGGAAACAGAGTCAGGTAATGTGTGGAAAGAAAATCCAGAGGAGAAGCCAGAGAGCGAAATCCCAGCAGCAGCAACTGAGGACAGTGTGCCAGGTGTTCTGTATGATTTGCTACAGAAAGAAGTAGTTTCTTTGAGGAAAGCCTCTCATGAAAAGGATCAAAGCCTCAAAGACAAGGATGATGCCATCGAGGTAGACTTTCTTCCATGTGAATCTGTTCTTGTTGTAAATGGAGGGAGTATGATAATTTGGGGTTTGTAGATGCTAGCGAAGAAGGTGGATACGTTAACAAAGGCAATGGAGGTTGAAGCGAAGAAGATGAGAAGGGAAGTAGCTGCAATGGAGAAAGAAGTTGCTGCTATGCGTGTGGAGAAAGATCAGGACATGAGAGCAAAAAGGTTTTCAAATAACAAGACCCCATCCAACACCGCCCAGATTCTTGCGGGAAGGTATATATCTGTCTCTTTGTATCGCGCACTTCATAATGAACCATGATATGTTATATAGTTTGCTGTAGAATTTTTAGAGTTTGCTTTCAAATAAATTGTATGTAGTTATATTGTCTGATAGACAGTTTGGTATTCTAACTGAATTTGGGGTTTGGATTTGCGCAGAGCTGCTGGACGAGGCGGGTTAACAAAGAGTACCCAGTGAGGGGAGATTCCATAATGTTATTAAGTTGTTTTAACCTTATATCTTGCTTTTACTTTGTGTGTTTCTGTGATTGATTGTATCAACTTAGCATGCTGATAATCCCAATCCTCACACCTATAATCCAGTGTTAAAAAAAAAAGGAGTGTGTGACGTAGACCGGTTTAAAGTGGTTAGAGGGAGGAGGAGAGAGAACATTGACATTTGGGCTAACGTTTTCGTCTCTTTTTCGGAAGTTTTAGTTTGTTTGGGTGTAGTATACTATACTATAGTGTAGAAAGCTGGAGTTTAATTGTGTGTATCTCTCTGATTCCTTATTTGTTTGTGCTCTACTACACTCTTTGTGTGACTATTCGTTTGTTTTTTTGGGTTTGCTGATGATATGATATATGATTTATATAGATTCTTGTGTTCGATTCACATTTCATGACAGTGATGACACAAGTAAAACCTGAACAAGAGAGACAATATTTCTAGTCTCACGTACCAATTATTTGATCATAGATTTATATCACAGACTACGATACAACCCAAAAAACAATCTCTCGGCGTAACCCGATAGAAACCTCCAAAGCACTCTCTAGCTTGGATTAGTCTCTCATCCATATTATTTAGCACTCTCTCTAGCTTGGATTAGTCTCTCACCCATATTATTTATTCTGGTGAGAACAAAGCACTCTTAAGAAAAAGTAATAAGTAAAACTCCAAGCCAAACAAATCAAAAACATATGGGTACTATTTGATGGCTTTCTTAATCATACAAGGCGTCTGCAGAGCGTGACACCATCACCAATGGAGACTTGAGAGAGCTCGACTCGAGGATCAGAAGCGAGCTTCTTGTTCAAGTCCATAAGAGCTTTTCTGTTCCTCCTCATGTGCTCTGGCACGCTTTCTTCTTCCTCTGCCACAAACCCAAACCACAATGTGTTATCAAACGCTATAATTCCACCAACCTTTACCAGCTTCATTAGTTTCTCGTGCACGTTGGCGTAGTTTGGTTTATCAGCGTCAACAAATGCAAAATCAAACTCCGGTTTTTGCTCCTCCTGTTCTCCATCATCATGCATAAAAACCAATCTCATTGTAAAACGTCTAACTCTGCTTAATAATCAGGGGAATGCTTAATAAAGGATTACGTACACTCAACATCTTGTCTAAGGCCTGAAGAACATCAGATTGGATGAAATTGATTTTGTGATCAACACCTGCATTCTTGATGAACTCTAGACCCACCTCATAGGCTTCTTTATCAATGTCTATTGCAGTAATCTGTATATCCAAAGAGTTCATCATTATTGCCTATTTAGTTTTGAGGAAACTAAGTACAGAAAGTGTTGTAAACATACACGACCATCCTCAGGTAATGCGAGGGCCGTTGTGAGAAGCGAATAACCCGTGAAAACGCCGAGCTCTAGCGTATTCTTGGCATTTGTCATCTTTATAAGCATCGATAGGAAAAGCCCCTCATCTACGGGTACTTCCATCTCGCTTCTACGCATATACAAACACAAATCAAATTCTGTTTGTAGTATTGTTATATTGTTAGAACAATCCTCGAAATGATTGTTTGTTTGCGTTGACTTTTTGTTTACATTGTTATAAATAAAATTATGCCTTTTCCAAATGAAACTTTTTACAAATTGTTCTTTTTCTTTTGTAATTGCGTTTACACTTGCAAATAGCTTTTATGGAGAAATTATATGTAAAATGCCATTAGAGTACCAGTTTGCACATATCCGAGTGAAAGTACAAGGTATCAAATATATTTTAGTATCTAACGTTATAAAAATTGGTTATAGAAACATGGACAAGGGAGACTTACAAATTGCCATACTTGAGGACAGTAGCTTCTCGTAACTTCTTGAGCTGCTCATGCTCTCTTGGATACGCCGTCGTTTCAAAGATGTACTGTCTCACAAATCACAAGTTTTGATTCACAACCACAGCCGTATGATATATGTGAAGGTTCGGATTTAAAGCTTCTACTCAATAGAGAAAAAAAAAAACTAAAAACATTGCAGATCAAGAAAGGCTTTGGATCCGATCAAGAAATTAAGCTGGGATCAATCAAAATGATAGAGTGATGAAAAGACCTTTTTGAGAGCCTCGCTCTTGAGAATCCCTTTGGACGGAAGTAGTCCCTCCATAGCTCTCTCTCTTGATTGATGCCTCCTACTTCAAAAGCTTAGCAACTCCAATGAACATAAATCTCTTTTTTTTCTTGTCTTGGTCACAAAATGAACATATATCTATTATTATTAGTTTTTGTTAAAGAGAATCTCAAAAAGTCGTTGGTAATAATAGGTCGCCACCACATACACAATTATTAGGCGTTCGCCTTTCAATGCCGCAGGGCAACTGTGTGTGTATATAAAATTCCAAAAAAATAAAGAGAAACGGATCTTCTAGGACGAAGCAGCTTAATAATCTATTATATAATAAGAAAGTTCTCTCTCCATTTAGAGTGTCAATATAAACAAAAATATTTTTTAAAATAATTAAGTTTTAAAATAATTATTTACTACACACTAATTCATATGTATTGTTTTTATAATTATTAAAAAATTAAATTAGACTAA